ATCTGACAAAGACAAACAGTAGTAAGTCATCCACATATTTGAACTTTTACCAGGTGGCGGACATGCAGGTTAAATATAATGAAAACCTCTCATCTGTGTTCAGAAGGATCAGGTTTTCTGTTCCGAAGCCCAGAGCTGCGCTGGCTTTCTTGAGGGAATAGTGGCTCTACAAGGACAGAAGCTGATCAGTCACAATTCAGGCTGGAAATACATCTACAGGTATTAACTGTAAAGCTTAATGTAAATCTACTTAAGTGATGAGATGACAGGTGTCAGTGATATGGAGACTGTGTCAGACTAACATGCTCTGAGGTGAAGAGGATCAGTCTGGGTGCAGCTGTCATGCCTTTAGTCTTGACTTCAGGGAAGAACTTGTATCTGGCGACCATCACGCTGTACATATTGGAGATCGCTCCTCCTGAAGAAACAACATAAAACAACTAAGTATATCTACTCAAATAGAGTACGACTTTGTCAAATAGAGTACGACTTTGAGGTACGTGTACTTGAGTGCTTCCATTTTATTCTACTTTATACTTCACTACATTTCAGTTGGAAACATTATGCTTTTTACTACATTTACTTGGCAGTTTTGTATCTTCAGATTATAATTACATAATTATGTGTGCAACACATAACCAGAAGACTCCAAAAATCCAGTCATAGCCAGGATAGTAGTACACTTCCAAGCACACTTGGTAATTAAAATCTAGTAACATAATATATTTTACTCAGAAATTGTCCATTAAGAATCTTTAAGGTACAGTAAGTATATTTTTAAGAATTTACTTAAGTAACATTGTCAATACTGGATTTTTATTTGTCACAGAGAATTACTGCACTGTGGTACTGCTGCTTTTATGTAAGTAAAGGTTCTGAGTATTTCTTCCATCACATGAGACCTTTTAGTTGTGAAATATATAGATTCAGAGTCATAGCTAAAAAAGAAAAAAAATCATAAATAAAGTATTTAATAATAACAAAAGATTGTTGGCATCTTTGTCTCGTACCTGGAGAAAATATCCCATCTCCCTCTCCATCGGGCCAGCCAACAATCTCTCTCATCTTTTTCAGTGTCAGCTGTTCCATGAGCACAAAGACAGGAGCAATCTCATAGGTAAACCTGGAAAAAATGCATTTGACACCTCTTTTGATTGAACATAATCTTTACCTTATATTTGTATTTTGTTGTGTGTTAACTAAAGAATAGTATACAGTATAAATAATGCAGTTGTTTTCTCATTACACTTCCACTCAAGTTAAATTCCATTTCACCTTGAGGCTGCAGGCGAGAACAACAGGATCAATATGAAATACGCTGATATTTAACAAGATACAGTTGTATACTCTAATTGTACGGCATGGATGCTGAGCATGCTGCTGTGAAAAAAATGAAAGCGAGTCTTCAGTACATAGGCTAGTCACACTTCACTGGCAACACCCTCTTCTTGTTTCAAAAATGACCTTTTGCTGCAGTGAAATGACTGAAAAAATGTCAAACGGGCTTGGGCTCACTGGTGCAGCTTCTGGAGCACCAGTAAGAAAAAAAAAAAATCTCAATAAAGATGTTTCAAATATAAACAATGTACCTTTAATGGGATTAACATGATTAAAAACATTGTAGGGATAATGAGCAGCTGTTCTTTCAGGTGGCTTTAATTTTCTCCTTGCAGGACTGTTTATTATTTGTTTTGTCCTCTTAAGGTATATCATTTTTCTATATCATCAAAGTGGATTAAAAACCTTCTGCCTTAGAGACGAGCACAGTCCATTGGGAAGTGCAGCACAGGCAGGTTCATCCATCTAATCCTGACCAGCATTCTTCTAACATACATACATACTATATCTGTCTACGCATGTAGAAGAAGCAAATGAATCAGTGGGACACTACAGAATGTCACAATGTGACTCTCAGCATCTTCAGCATGCACACTCTGCTACTAAGGGAACGAATAATAAAAAAAAAAACTATTTGTGGATGCCACACATTAATCTCACCACATTCATTCAGGCAGACAATGCTCACTCAATCTTATTATGTAAGACCTGGATGTGATTGTGGGTCTATTATTGTCATTCAATATCTGCCAGGGGTAATTAGGGTTGATGGAGTAATTAATAAAGGTAAATTACAAGTATGTAAGCAGCCCCCACCCTCTGGTTCAAGTCATCCGTGGTGATGTTCAGAGTAATACACAAGATAACTACAGTAATTCTTTGAGATGGGAGCCGGCGGAAGACAAACTGATGGCTGCACTAGGGAAGAAGACATGGTTGAAATTATAAGAGATGTTTCAGCTATGAAAACTAAATCTCCACATCTGTTATTTCACTAGCTCATTTAATCTCCAGAAGGTTTATATTGCTAAAAAGGCACTTCACTGCTGTGTGCAGATAAATGAATGGCTTTTGCAGAACCTACCAAAGGGGGGCAACAGAAAAAGTCTGGGGAAAACTGTATTAGTGGTTAGTAAATGCTTTATAGTGCAGTTATACGCCAGTTATAACAATCAATTTTAGGTTGCCAGGTTGTGAAAACTACATCCAGCAGGTATTTATCCTTGAAAATACTGTCATTATAAATATCAGTAATACATTAGCTAATGCTTAAAATGCAGCTAATGAATCAAGATTGTTCCAGATCTTCTGTGTTTTTTCTAGATGTTAAGTACTCACTCACAACCTGGCAACTCATAATTTTGTCATATAATATGTTACAACGGATCTATAAACTATTATAAAATGATTTATTAACCATAAATGAAATAATTATTTACAGCATATTATATTTTAAAGGACCCTTAATTAGAAGTGTGTAGTAAAGGTTTTTCCTACATCTTCTATTTGCATGTAGATTTATGTGCATAATGAAAATATTTTCATCTACATTGTCTTCTCTACCACGATATATAATATTGCTGAAGCATGTCAAAAATAGGCAGAAGGTTCTCTGAAGCTACTACTGACTCAGCTAATAGGAATTTTTTACTTAATGGTTTACAGTACTGGGAAACATGGTGGGAACCTGGGAAAAATGTGTATTTTGGCCCTCTAGGTGAAAGAGACGCCCGAGCTCTCATGGTCAGGTTTTATGTCCTGCATTATTCCATCATCATTCACCAGCTCCCAGTTTATGAGGTACAACAAAATACACTCAAACACAACAGCCAAGTGATATGAGTTTTGTTCAACCCCATTAACATAAATTAGGGGACAGAATATTACAAACACTTCCAAACATAATTCCACAAACTACACCTCTCTAAAACATTATTCACAAAAACTTCACACAGGCAGGCATGATGCAGGGAGCCAGTGTAGGCTACACCACAGTGTACACATGGGCTTTTCCCCCTCCTGGCATTGTTATGTCACAGGAACTAGCATTACATGAAACAAAGACACCATGTAAACCACGAGTGTGGATCAATTGGCAATTTAGTTTGCCTGCAGGGCTGAATTATGTGACTAGAGCCTGAGTGCGGGTCAGCATTGACAATACTGAGGGGGAGTAGCTGTACAAATGTCTTCTTTTGTGCTTCATATTTTCTTGCTTGATTGACAGTCTATCAGAGCATGCAAGGTATTGTTCAGCCAAAGACAGTAATTACTATTTGTCACTTCAAGCGCTGCTCTAACTGAAAGCCTCTCCTATATGAGCCAGTGGGGGAAAAAAGCCTCACAGAAAAAATAATAGAATAAAATGAACCTAATGACTTTCAAAGTGGATCTAATTCTTTTTGCATACATCATTGTCTGCATGACTGTGTTTATGGAGTGCAGTTATTTAAAGAATTAAGTTACTGACATGTTAGTGTTGGCTGTAGAAGTGAGCCACTCTCCTGCCAACCCAACGATGTCTAATCCAGTGGAAAGCTGGTTAAAGAACCTGGGGTGACCTGCGGTTGATAAAGAGACAAAAAAAGCAAAAAAAAAACAGCATGAGCCACAATTTATCATGTGGGAATCTGTGACAAAAAAGCTTTATCTGTAATCATTGCCTTGATGTTAGTTAATGAGAACTGTTCACTGCAGCAGGCTTTGCTGCACCTTGAGGCCTCTTACCTGTTCTCACTCCATATTTCAGCGTGTCCCTGCAGTCCACTAGGATTTGCTCCAGAGACTCGGGCTGATCAGAAAGCTCCAGGCTGAAGCCTTCCATGCCCTCCAGCAGCTGGTGCGGGTGGTGGAAGTCCAGCACCTTGGTGGATCTGTCAAACGTCTTCCGAATGTAGCTGGTGAGGATTTCCACAACCTCCAGCAAGAACTGCATAGTCGGCTCCTCTCCATTTTTTGCAGGCAACAGATCTACACCCACACACAAAATACATCTATTAAAATCAGTGTCTGTGTCTCTTATGGTTAACCTCAATCTGCAAGCTCATGCTGCTCATTTTATAGATCTTTATCACATTGTAATTTTGAATTTTATGGTGACCTTTGTGTTACTTTGGTTTATTTTGTTAAGGAATTTACCAATGCACTGCCAAATGTGATAAAAACTAGTTTTAATTGAAAATGTTTCATCATAACCATGTAAAGAATTATTTTTGTATTACCTGGCATCTGTCATCTGTGCATTATTTACTTCTATATATGTTTACAGCCTGCTGACATGTTTTGTTATGAGAGTCCAGATAATTTCCATAGCTTCTTCCATTTTTGGGTATTATATTTTATTTCAAATGCATCGTGTTGCTTTTGTAAGTGCTAAATAGAATCCATACGCTATCTCCCAAAGCCTACCTCTGGCGAACTGATTGGAGAAATCCGTCTCCGTGCGTCTGAAACGCACATCTCCGCCGATGTTATCACAGGAGAGCAGGGTCTTGGCTGTGCGCTCCTTGAGGGAACTCACAATCCTGCTCCTCTCCTCCAGACTGTTGTTCTTCTGCAGAAATCCTAAACATTTAGGAGAAGAAGAGGAGTCCGGAGGATGGTTACACTTCCCATACATACTGAGCGCTGCAGCTTTCTTCACTATACCAGGCCCACTAAAAACTCCCCTCTCTCATTTCTGGCTTCTGTCTCCTGTCTTTGTCTCTCCCGGGATCAAGTACTGTATTTTCTCTGGATTTTTTTTTTTTTGGTTTAATGAGAAATGGATTCCACCCTGCACTGGGAGTCCTATTTATGGGCAGAGGGCTCAATGGGAGGGTGAGGCCGGTGACATCAGCACCAAACTCCAGCCAAGCAAAACCAAATCGCTGCCATGCAGCGGCTGACAAATCTTATTAAAGCTCCTCCACTCCAGTGGCCAGCTAAGAAACATCACAACTAGCAGACGACAACAGAGCTCAAAGACACATTTGCTGAATCTCATCTGACGATTGTGAAACGAGAAGTTTGAGATTTAAAACCTAACAATCCAACAAGGGTGAGGCTTTATTCTGTTTTGTTTTTCCCTTGTATTCTGCTGCTTTCTTGTTCCGAGTAATTAAAGTGCCTTAATGGAACCAGCAGAAGGCGTCGGTCAAAAACAGCAGAGGATTGTAGCGCGCACCGGAGCGTGACATTCACCATTATGGTAGATGTCAGTCTGCCCTTGGTTAGTGGAGTATGATGCTAAAATAGACTCAAAGTGCAAATCGAAAAATCCATCCTGCATAATTTCCTCTTTAATTTCATCAGCACCAGTTTACAGATAAATTGATAGTTTTGGCAGCTGACTCGTCTTGCATTTCTCCCTATTTTGATTAAATAACCAAATTCAGATATGATGATAATTTGCTCATTTAAATACTACTGGTTCATCCAAATGGTTATTCCGTGTTTGGATGCTATTTTAAAATCCCATTCGTCCAGAAATTCGCGTTATGGGTCTCGAGGAAAACGATGCAGGCCATGTATCATATAGTCAATTCATATTTTTACATTATTCTATTAGAAAATAAGGTAAATGCGAACTTACCACATATCTTCATTCCCAGTTTTCTGGTACATCCATGAGCAACTCCACACCATGCATAACCTGTAATAGATTTTTTTTTTAACGGTTAAAGGGCCTACACAAGCCTGAAAGACACAACATCAGTGCACATTTTTATCGTGAACAGTTGATGGGAAATTAATGGAAAGATGTGTGAGGTCGAGTGATGTGGCATGCTGAAAGAAAAATAGTCAGCTGTGGGTGTGGTGGGATTATTTTATCATTTAGCCGCACTCCCCGGGCCCCTGGATCTGGATTAGTCCATTTCCACTGTAGTATGTCACCATTCATGGCCAAGGCAAGGACTTAAAATTAATTAGCTGTGTGGATCCAAGTCAGCCCAGTGATCTAACTGAGTGAAAAGATGCGGGTTAAAATACGAGCATCTGTAGACGTGAGCCGGCTGGCCAGTGACAGATACAGAATTACTGCGTTATCAAGGGCTTCCAGCCATAGAGGGGATGGGGCACCTTGGATAGGAAGCACAAACGAAATCCTCAAAAGCAGCAATTTAGGGGAGGAGGGAGTGGGAGGAGGAGGAGGAGGAGGACTGGGCTAGTCCTATTCCCACATCCCAATTTAACCCTGGCTTTGGATCATTAGATAAATCATGGCCCTGCTCAGCTCATTGAACTCGCATTAGACACAGCCCTCATAATAATTTTTTTCCAGCCAGACGAAATGAGATGGACAACAGAGAGACAGCGAGATAAAAGAAAACAGGAAGAAAAGAAAAAGAAAAGGGGGCAGATGTGCTGACAAATGGCATCAGACTAGATGTACAGGAGAGCTATGGCTTGTTTCTGCATGGGCCTAACTTTATGTGATCACTGCTTTTCATCTGACACAGATTCGTGCACAATACAAAGCCGTGGCAGGATTAAAACCAAATGCAAGTGAGAAAAAAAATAACAGCAGAGAAATAAAACTCTTATGGTTTTTCAAAGGCACTTGTGTCAGGAGCACGTCTCCACCTGTAACATGCTTTTAGACTTCTATTCACCAGTGAATCAGGCTCATCTGCCACTGAAAGGACCGGGGTGGCTCTGTGTCTCTATAGTGCCCCTGTCTGAAGGCGACAGTGCGTAAGTGTACCATTAGGGGCAATTTAATATGGCTGAATTAACAGCCACTTCAGGGCCAATTTTTATTCTTTATTTATTTTTGCCTGAGCACATTTAGAAGAACCAATAAAAAGAAAATATGCATTAACGCACCACACACAATAATAATAATAATAATAATTTGTGGCTACATTTGACTAATAAATGCTCTTATTTGTGCCTCTGTAAAGGTGTTGGTAGGTGCACAGGGCTTGTTTTGCATCCAGCTGCCTTCAGATTAACGCTGGGTTTCTGACAGCAGCGTTCAGATGCCGGGAGGTCCGTACTGTGAATGAAATGCAGTGGTGATTTGTGGCGAAGGAAGCTTTCTCATATGGCAGCGGGGCTTTTACCCACCCACC